CCCTGCTGAGTGGTGGGCGCTGTCCTAAGCCCGGTAACACCCCTATCGACTTGATGGGGTGAAAAGGGCTTTCATTATGTTGATTTTACTGAAAGGAACTGGGGCATAGAGAGGTTGGGTAACCAGCCTCAGGTGGTGCTGGGCTCTGGCAGAGGGGAACAGACGGTCCCTAACACTGCTCCTCCTTCCTGGAGAGTTGCTTTCCAAGTAGTCTTTCTATTACTCTTAAGTGTTGAGAGAAACAAAACCTTTGTAATACAGATAACCCACGGCTTTGGTAAGCCCTTGGCCTTTTTAAAGAGGCATTTCTGAACCCAAATGTTCCTCTGATGGATGGGACTACAGACAAAGTGGCAAAGAGAATTACAAATTTAGTGTCATGAAGGGTCAGTATTTTGGTTTTATCCTTTATTTATTTATTTATTTATTTTGGAGGGGGTGTACCGGGGATTGAACTCAGGAGCATTCCACCACTGAGCCACTTCCCCAGCCCTATTTTTTGTATTTTATTTAGAGACAGGGTCTCACTGAGTTGCTTAGCACCTCACCATTGCTGAGGCTGGCTTTGAACTCGTGATCCTCCTGCCTCAGCCTCCTGAGCCACTGGGATGATAGGCATGTGCCACGGGGCCCAGCTGGTTTTATCCTTTCTTAACATCCGTCCCCACTATCTAATTCCAGAACATTTCACCACCCAAAATGCAACCATGTGCTGGTAGCTGTCCCTCTCCTCCTGCCCTGGTGACCACGGGTCTCTCTCTGTCTCTGCGGATTTGCCTATTCCATTTATGTTCCACACACCACCTGGTCTTTCATGTCTGACATTTTTTTCAGTTAGCGCAATGTCTCAGGGCTCCCGGGTTGTGACATGCTTCAGCTCTTCATTCCTTTGTACAGCAGAATAGTGCTGCATTTTGTAGATCAGCCACATTTTGCTTCTCTGTTTATCAACTGATAGGCTCTGCGGTTCTTTTCACTCTGGGCTATTATGAACAGTGCTGCTGCAAATATTTGTGTACATGTTTTTATGTGGACATACATACGTTCAGTTATCTTGGGGTATACCAAAGGAGTAGAATTGCTGGGTCCTATGAAGATAGGACATTCTATTTAAAGATGGAAAGTGCAGAAGAACCCATTAAATCATGTGACCTGGTGGCTGCCTACAGTCATCCCACTGTTTAGAGCTGTATGACCCCAGATAAGTGAACTGACCTCTCTGAATCTCAGTGGCTTTTATTATTGTTGTTGTTGTTTGTGTGTTAAGTGTCTTAAATGAAGAGAGTGCCTTCTTGATGTCCTTGTGAAAATTAACTAAATAATGTAGGTGGAAGTGTTCATAAGTGATGCAGTGTGAGGCTCTTGGGTATCTTCATCCATCTGTCAGACGTACTTCTACGGCAGGGCAGCTGCTCACAGGTGAATGCTGGGAACATCCCCTGCAGCATGGGCTGTGCCCAGCAAACCCTTTCCTTCCTAGCTAGTGGCCCTGCTGGAAAATAACCCCATGAGAGGTGCCTAGAGAAGAAATAAATCTTTTCTTTGGGAATTTCCAGCACCATCTTGAGCCAGAGTGGGTGACTTTCCAGTTGCATACGCTACACTCACAATGCACGCATGTTAAACACATGGTACATATTACATGGTGTACCACACATCACAGTGTGCTGCACACGCACTTCATGTGTGCCACACACTCAGTGCACATGTCTCCCACTCACTTATGCTGCTCCCTGCACACGTTACATGCTGAATGTGTGCTCATACACATTGCATTGCACTGCATACATGTCATACGCACTGTGTATGTGCCACACACTGCACATGTGCTTCACACATGCTACTCACTCCACACAAGCTGCTCATGCTACACAGTGCTGCACATGTATACATGCTATAGACACACGCACGCTGCATGCACTAGGTATGCTGGGTACACACAGAGGATGCACACACACGCTGCACACACCTCCTCACCCAGAGCCAGGTGTGGCCACGCTCCCGGGAAGCTGGCCCACCATCGCTTGGTCGGGTCCTCCCCACTGTGTGGTGCTTCACCTCCGGACCCCTCTCCCTTCAAGGATCTGTCCTGTCCTCAATTACATCTGCCCGTCCTTCCCAAATGGGCCTGTCCTGGGTCACATCTCCTTGGGGCCTTGCTCCTGTGGCTCCCCCACAGTCAGAGCTAAGTGCACTGATGTGATGGTGAACTCCCAGGAGCAGGCAGGAAGGTGGCCTGGCATCTTCCAGCTCTGCCACTTACTAGTTGTGTGGCCTTGTAGTCGCCCGCTCTGGGCTTGAGTTTTCTCCTGTGTGAAACAGGGATAATGATAAGCAGCCACCACAGGGGATGATGGTGGAGCAAATGGGGTCTGCTGTGCCCTACGTCACCCGTCACCCACCATGCTCAACAGTCGGGACTCTCAGCATGGCTGGTGCTACTACCCCACCCTCATCATCCGCGTGTGGCCAGTCCCTGTCTTCTCCACCCACCAAAGCAGCTGCCTTCAATGCAACTGGAGCCGTCCCCACCCCAGTACTGTGTCACCAAGGGCTGGGGTTGATGCTCCAATTCTGGTGAGGAGGCTGGGACAGGTGTGCTCTTCGGCACCGGCTGACAGCCAGCAAGTGGACAATATACTATTTATAGCGTCCTCTGAGGGTCATCACTAATGTTACCTGATATTTATGTACATCTGCCTCTCCCTGAAGCTGTCCTGCTCACAATTTTGTTGGTACCAACCAACGTGTGCATGGCTGTCACCACCCTCCTGACCCCTAGGGTTCAGGGTTGTAACTTGAAATCCCTGCGACCCAGGACCCAGCCCTGCCCCACCTCCGGGCTTCCGTCACTTCCCCCGCTGCAGTCCCAGCAGCCTCACTGGTCAGCTGGCCTCCCAGAGGCCCTCCGCTCTGTGGCCTTGCTGCCTTTGCAGCTCTGCTCCCCCACCAGGACGCGACTGCCACCTCCTCCCACCCCACACCCACTTCACCAGTTACTCCGTCACCCATGCAGCCAAAGGCTGAGGCCTGTCAGATCTGCACTGCTGCCCCCACCACCTCACCTTGGGCCAGAAGGCCACGTCTCCTCCCTGCATTCCCATAGCATTCATAGCATTCTTCTAGAACGTTCTCTTTACGTTAGTGTCTTGTCACAGATACTGCATTGTGAGTTATTGCAATTTGTTCTTTGTAACACTGTCATTCGTCCTCGCAGTATCCCGCCAGAGACTTGCAAATCATATCTAATGTTTGCTGAGTTAAATAATTTTCATTCTTTCAAACAATTGAGTTTTACCATTAACTCCTTATAAATCAGCATTTCCCTGTGGTATAAATTCATACCAGTATGAACACCTATAAATCCTGAATCGGGACAGGCGGTCGGTCTCTTGGTCAGAGTCAGGGCTGGGACAGCAGGTTCACCCTGCTGGCTTCCTGGCTGGGTGGACCCCATACAGTTGCTAGGAGGAAAACCAGTCAGTCTGTGTGACATCAACGAGGAGAGTGTGTGTCACAGAGGGAGTCTTCAGTATATTCAGCTGTCATTCCCATTCCCCATCCCCGGGAAGGAAGCCAGGGGCACTTTACCACCAAGCTACATTCCCCAGCCCTCTTATATTGTTTATTGTGAGAGGTTCTCACTAAGGTGCTGAGGGTCTCGCCAGGTTGCTGAGGCTGGCCTCAAACTTTTGATTCTTCTATCTCAGTCGTTAGAATTACAGGAGGGTGCCACCTAGCCCCGTTATCCCCTCCTCCCTGGCTCTGACCCTGCCGAAGTCTGGAAGAGGCTGTTCAGATGTTGTAGTTGCCAAGTCTCACCAGCAGGAGGCCCCTGCCTCCAGGGTTGCCGTCAGTTCTTAAGCTGGAGCCCAGGGAGAGGGAATGCAGTTTGGGGATGGGGCAGAGGGGAGTTTATAAGGACCAAGAGAATGCCAGGTTTATACCGCCCTCTGCAAGAAGTCGCATCGGGAGATCATTTGAAAAGTCCCTGCACCTCCCTCTCTGCCCATGGCAGGGTTAGAAAGGGCAAGTGCGGGGGTGGGGGGTGGGGGGGGGTTGTGTAGCAGAGGGAGGCAGGAGGGAGTGGCAGGCGGGAGGGAGTGGCAGGCGGGAGGGAGTGGCAGGCGGGAGGCGCGCTTGCAGCTGGCAATGCACAGTGTTTCTGATTCTGAGGTCTCTTCAGGGTTAGCTAGGATGGGCCCAGCCACCCTACCGTGCATAGTCACCTCCTGAACGTGGGATCTGGCCCTCAGGCAGTCACCCTCCTATTTTCTTTCTCTGTTCCTCCTCCAGGCAGATCCTTAGCCTGTTCCCCAGGACCTGAGCAGGCCTAGCCCATTCCCACCCGTTCCCTGGTCCTGCTGGCATCTCTGGGTCTTGCTCATAACTCGCCTCCTCCAGGAAGCCTTCCCTGCCCTCCCAGTCCCCCAGCTCCTCTTCCCTGGCCTTTCCAGTTTGGCACCTTTCCCAGGGCTGCCTATTGGGCCATCTGCCCTTTCACGTAAGCCCATTTAGAACTCCATTTGATAAGGAAACTCATTAGCAGTTACATGACTGGCCACTGCTCTGAAGTCAGATGCAGTGAACTGGACAAGAAAGGGTGTACAGGACAGGTCGGTTCCTGCCCTCCACGCACAGACAGTCTAGTTGCCCAGCTGACATGTCCTTTCAACAGCCCCGGGCACACTTAGGAAACACCTGGCTCTGGGGAGTGGGAAACCGGATAAGAGGACACCGTCCCTCTTGGGGAACCTCTGTCCAAGGCAAGACAGCCAAGAAGACTGGGTGGAGGTGACAGCACGTGAGTCATTCTATACACCTATCTCAGAAGCAATCATACTGCACATTTTAAAGAGTAAAACGGCAGGAGTGTTCTGAGGACAAGGAGAGCACCTGTAGCCTCCGACACACACCCTGAAACATCTCCCATTTCGTTTCTGAGACTTTCATTTCCTTCCATGGGAAAATTAAATATTTCACTTCAAAAGAGACAAGGCTTAGAAAACTGACTTAAACTCTGATCAGATTCCTGACAGAAGCAAGAAAATTCAGGAATAAACATGAGGCATCCCATTGTAGAGAGGAGGACACAGGCCCGTGCAGTTCAGCCATTCTTGGCTTCACAGGGCAAACATGCTGGTCCCTCTTCTGTGTCCCTGTGTGCCCGCCCAGGGCACCGTCATAGGTGTACGAAGCCTTCTGCTGCCTCCTGGGATCCCAGCAAGGTTGACTTTCAGGAAGTCAGTGGGGAAAGGCTGAGGAAGACCAGCAGAGGCCACCTGGCTGTGGGGCACCAGGGACCCCCCACACACTGGGCAGGTGCACAGCTGCAACCAGCTGCTCTGCAGAGTCTGCTGGGAGCAACCCCCTGCTTACGACGCTGAGCCAGGGCGTTTATCCGGCGCCTCGAGGTGGCTGTGTGAGGGAAAGGGCATGATTTATACCTGACCTATGACTCAGAAGTAGGAAGGGGAAGCCACTTCTTCCCCGCCCACCCCACAAGACAGCGGCTGACAGGTGCACCTGAGCATCCCTGTGACAGACACGCGTCCTGCATGAGCTCCTCCTCCTAACAAAGCCACCTTTCCCTCACTAGCCCTGGCCTCTTTGGGAAGGACGGCAGGAAAAGCCAGGCGAGACTAGGGTGAATTTTCCAAAAACCCTCCACTGGGTCGCAGGGCTGGACCACTGGCATGTGAAGTCGCATCTTGCGGTCTTCCAAGAGATTTCTCCTGGGATCTTGACACTCACCTTGCTTCTCTCCGGTAAAAACCAGATGGCAAGGGGGGACAAAGTCAGGTCATCCGTCCAGGGGAACGCTTGAGTGGGAGCACCTCCACGGGATGCTGGCCTTTTAGCCGGCCAAGAAAACCTCTGCTCTTTCCCCTCTAGCTGTCACATAGGAGGGAGACATATGACCCTTGACTTTCTGAGTTTGGCTCACTTCACTTGGCATAATGCTCTCAGGTTCCATCCATTGTCCTGGAAATGGCATGATTTCATTCTTCTTCATGGCCGAATCTTTATTCAGAGCTTTCTCCGTTGTGTGTAGAGACCACGTTTCCTTTTCCACTCATCCATTTTCGGACACCTGGGCTGGCTCCATAACTTGGCTATTAGGAATTGTGCTGTGATAAAGGAAACCAAACTAGGACAGAGACCGATGGAGCAGAGGAAGGGGACAAGGCGGAGGAGGAGGGGAAGTTCTGGGAAACAAAATTGACCCCATGATGCTGCGTCCGTGGACAAATACAGCACAATGTAAGAAAGGAGATCCGTGGAAGGAAGGGGAGGGAGGGGAGGGAGGGGGAGGCCCTGGGGAATGAGACTGAGCAAATTAGCTATGTGCCTGCAGAGATATGTCACAGTGACACCCATTGTTATATATAATTACAATTATGTATACAATGTACCCATAAAAGTCATAAAAAGAAAGAAAGCCTTTGTAAAAGGATGCTTTTCTACAGGCAGTGGTAGGCTCTGGGTCCTAGCCCAACACTGCCTCCTCCTCTGGGGGACCTTGACTCCCTACCTCACACCCAACAGCTTTGCAACCCTCAGGCCAGTTCCCAGTTGCTTACAGACTCCAACACCCAGTCTTCCTTTCTGTGCTCATGTTTCTTCTGGCTCCTCGGTTACCCTTAAGTTCACCTGCAGTGAGACCCATACCATCTCCCCGTTCTTATCTTATTTGTCCTGGGGGGCCGGGGAGAGCCGACAGTGAATATGACTTCTGTTTGACCTTGGGATAGGTCTTTGCATTTGGTGGTCAGAAGTTCTGATGTTCAGGGAAGTCTACTTGCAATGAAATCTGGCATCACACCTAGAAGGAAGGTGACCAAAAGTGGGTGACCAACCTGGAGGCCTCATTCCACCGGCAGGAAGATGCCCAGTGCTCTGCACGGCCCATCACCACCTCCAGCCTGGGAAGCAGTGATGCTCCCATGACCTGTTGGGGATTCCTTACGGCCTACAAACTGGGAGTAACCAGAGGACATAAGATGTGAATGACAGAATACAGCAGAGTGCCGGCAGGGTCCTGCAGCCATTCCCAACAGGGTAGAGAACAAGACTCATTGAGATCATCGCAGCTCACGGTGGAGGAAAGACGTGAAGACCTGAAGTCAGGGTGTTGCTTGTGATCGTCCAGTCACTGCACATGGAAGAGCAGGGATGGCACACCAGGACCAGAGAGGTGGTAAACTGGAGACCCAGAAGTCAGGGCTCCTGATTAAGGGACTAGGCCTGGGAGGGAGCATTTCTGCTTCATCCCTCCAGCCCTGGTGACTCCTCAGCCAGGGTGACAGCAATGGTTTGTGCTACCACAGCTTTTGCTCTGTGCGAAACTGGGTTGATGGTCTAAACTGAACAGCAGTTCAACCACTGGAGCTCTCAAAGGGTCCACAGCCCAGCCCTTGGACTGGGGCTGACTTATCTATCATCTCACCAGGTGAATGTATTCTGACTTAGGTGTAACTCCCTCCCAACACACGGCAGGACAATGGTAACAAGGAGAGAGCTTGCTTTGTAAGCCTTGTTTAAGAATATGCTTTACAGGAGTGCTCCTGTCCTGGAGCTCAGCTGCTGTTTCCTACCAAGGCAGAGACAAAGACCAATCCACTTTGCTTTGTTTCCACAGCTCAAGAGCCTGGCCCAGAGCTGTACCTCAGCACAGACTGCTGGATGGAGGAAGATTTTTTGCAAGCCATGGACACTCACCAGGTAGGTGAAAACGCACTGAGGGGAACTGCTATCCCAGAACTCACCAGCCACCCAGCCTCTCTCTGCACTGAGGTCTCACTGCTGCCGGCTCGGCTGATCTCATTTCTGGGCACTCACATCATAGCAGCAGAATGTGAACTATGTAGACAATAAGTAAGGCCCAGATTGCTCTCAGATACATGGCATCCCAGGGACAGGACATCAGGTTGTTCACTGAGTCACTCAGGTATTTTTGGCATCAATGTGGGTGTACTCCAAAAAGAACCAAAGAGCAGGAAATAAACAAGTTCAAAAAGTAACGTGCAGTGAATCCAAGAAGGTTGTTTAAATTTTTCTTCACTGAGTTGGCCCAAAATTGATGAGCTTCAATATCCTTCCCTGAGGCTCTCACTTAGCACTGGCTGGAACTTGGGCAGGACAAAACTTGGACTGGGATTGGGCATTTGTCATTGGCCAGATGCTTCTCACCATGACCATGGTGAAGCCATTCCCTTCAAAACCACCTTGGGCTGTGGACACAGAGATCACCCCAACTAGACTTGGGAAGGTGGGCGGCACAGAGAGTAAGAAACTGGGACCCCAGTTCTGATGTGGTCGACGCCAAAGCCTGGGCTCTTACCCGCAGCTCTTCATGAAGTGCACCTGATGGACTTAAATGGCTGGAAGGAGGGGGTCTGGGAGAGCCATCAAAGCTACACCGGACAGTGGACAGCATTGGGTGGGAAAGCTCAGAGTGGCCTCCAGGAAAGGTGGCGTCCGGTGATATCACAGCAGCCCCTTCCCACCCTACACTCTCCTGGGGCCCAAAGGCCACCCTAGGCTCCCTGGAGCAGCAGGACTCACTCCACGCCCCACTGCCGTCACTCTGCTGCGGCACCGCCCCTGGCTGCCTGTAGAGGGCGCCCTCTGCCCCCGGAGGCCCCGAGCACTCACCCCGGGACCGCGCTGCTGAGCCTGGAACCGGGTCGGACGTGGTCCCTGCTTCAGCTGGCCGCAGCCGTGAAGGGGAGGCAGTGTTCGCCCTCGTTGTCGCCCGGCATCTGGGAACCAAGGCTATACAGCTGCGATCCGAACCTCCCAACAGCCTCTGGGTCACAGGCTGTGTCGTGGGGACTTCTGGGGAAGGACCCGGAGAGCTGGGGAGGAAGAAAGGCTGAAGGGGGCATTTGCATACCCCGCCCTGTCCACTGCTGAGAGACCCTCCGCAGGTGGCTTCCCCGACTGAGCCCGGGTTGTGGGCAGGGCAGCAGAGAGAGGAAGAGGACTGCGGAGGAGGGGCCGGAGCAGATCCCAGCTAAAGGGGATCCGCTGAAGCCTCCTTTAGCTGGGACCTAGGTGTGGTCAGGGACCTGGGGCACTCTGAGAGACAGGGAGGAGTGGGGGCTTTGGAGAGGAAGCCATCTTAGCTGACATATTTACACATGGAAGGTCCACAGGGGCATGATCTAAGAGGGTGTTTTAATTCCCCTGGGTTGCTAACTGTGCAGGCTGGCCATTCCCAGAGCAGGGGATCGTTTACTTGTTGACCCCCAATGGCGTGGAGGGTCGTTTTTTCCTGCTGCCTTCTGCCTTTGAACACGGTACTACATTGGTTTGCCTGTGGATAGGGCCTAATAACTGATGTAGTAGTGCTGGTTGGGATCAAGGAGTGCAAAAGGGACTCTTAATCCATGTCGGAAAGTGGACATTAAACCTGGATTTGAATCTTGGCCACTCCTGGGTGCCTCATATGTCTCCTTCCAACCTATCCTTAAGTCTTTTTTTATTTACCTCAGTCTGACCCAGTTGATCTGCTGGCTCCTCTGCAAGGATGTATGAAAAGAAACCTGCTTGTCCTGCCTGCTGATCTTTATGTGCAGTGTGAGAACACACAGCCTTCCAGCACGGAACCCTGCAGACCTAGGCCACTGTTCTCATGGTGTGACCCAGGCTGGAGGCTGTACGTGTCCTCTGAGCTTCACCCAGTTAAATACAATTCAAACACCTCCCAGAAGAAGGGGCGATTCCTCATCCTCTTTGAAACTTCCCCCTACGCACAGGATCCTGTAGAGTGCTTTGCATACCATAGGTGCTCAATAATTGAATTTTCTGCCCTGTTTGCCACAAAGACCCAAATGCCAGTGATCATTTCCAATGACATTTAAAGAGTCTGTGAATCAGACTAACCACATCTTTAAATCCTGACCTGATTTAGCTCAGATCTGGTTTCACAACTTCAGTTGCAGACTGCCAGTCAAACCAGGATCTCTGGACTCCTTCCATGTACCTGGCACAGAGATGGGTGCTGGGAATATAAAAATGAATACAACAAAGGCCCCACTCTCGAGGTTCTCAACGTAGTGACAGGTGAGCCAGTCGCCAGGAGATGGTGTGAGAGATGGAGCAGGTGCTAGGAAGCTTAATGGGAGATGCCCTGGGGGAATCTGAAAGGTCCAGCAGTTCCACCTACAGGTGGAATCTGATCTGGGTTCTGATAGACCAGAGGGGGTTGCAGAGCCAGAGTGGGTTGCTCAAGTGGAGAAGCGCAGCACCCTAAATGCCATGATACCTTGAAATGCCCCAGGAAATGCCATTTGTGTGACCCTACCTCAACAACCACCTGGGGGCAATAAGAGCACCCTGGCTTTGGATGAATATGTTATTTACATGTTCATGAAAAAAAAAGAAATCTTCTTGTAAAACATAAAGTGCTTGACAACCATCTGGAGCCCTCCTCCTCCACCCAGGCCCCCAGGGCCTTGGGCTGCCTTCCTCTGCCTCTGCCTCCCCTGTCTGGCTTCCCTTCCAAACCACCCTGGTCTCTCTCACCAATATGTGCTGGAAAAGGTGAAATGTCACAGCGCTGGGCCTCCTCTGCCCAGAGCAACGCTGAGCACCAGCCGTGGGCTGCTCAGCACGAGCTCCTCTGCAGGCGACCTGGTCCTCTTCCTGCTGCTCACACACGTGGGCGGCTCCAAGACCGTGGTGTTTCCCCTGAGCCCCGGTGAGCTCATAGCTAACAGCGTCTGCAAATAGAACGTTCCACGGTGTCCTTCATGTTTAAGTGGGAGGCTCTAGATGACACTTACAAGGAGAAAGACGCAGTCATCAACTCTGACTGGTGCGCATGACTGAAGGCCCAGTGTGGAGGCCCCACTTCCACCCTGGCCCTGCCTTTACTCATCCTCCGCCCCTTCTTTCCTCTGAGCCTTCAGGTTTCCCATCTATGAGCAGAGCTGGAGGATTTCCATCCTATTCATGGGACCAGAAAGAATTAAAATCAAGTGAGATAACACGAGTAAAAGTGCTTTGAACTCTAAATCTTGTGGGGGGGAAAAAAGCACGCATTTTTGTTATTGTAGAAAATACTGAGGTCCTGGTGTTGGCATCGTGCTGGGTAGCATTTTACTGCAATTCAAGAATAAAATATCAACAGGAGAAAAAGTTAAAATCTAGACACCCAGTGGGGATGGGGGATGGCTTGGTGATAGATCACTTGCCTGGCATGTGCAAGACCCTGGGTTCAACCCTCAACTGCAAGAGAAAATATCATCAATCTCTGCTATGTTTGTCCACTGGACAATTTTAGAACAGAGAAGGAAAGAATGGGACCTTTAATATCATTCCGAATAAAAGTTAGGCACTTTCTGCCAGTTCCATCTGGCACCTAGAGCCCTGGCTGGCACATAGTAGGTGCTCAGAGAACATTTGTTTTTACTGTTCAAGAGTGTTCTGGCCTTGAAGGACTGCTGTGTTGAAGGACTGTGTAGGAATGTTCCCCACCAGGCCACCCTGGGACAGCAGGCCAGAGGTGACTGATCCAGGTAGGGACCTGGATGGATTCCCACCACCCCCAGGTTCCCCAGCCTGGTACTTCCACATCATTCTACAATTTGCCCCTGACTTCAAAATGGCCACAGGAGGTGATGGCTCAGGATGAAGTGAATCCAGATGACCTCAGTGGAAAGCAAATTAAGCAAGACACAGAAAGGTATAACGTAGTTTCACAAGTTTTATTCAGCCATAAAGAAGAATAAAACTGTGTCTTTTGCAGGAAAATGGGTAGAACTTGAGAACAATACATTAAGTAAAATAAGCCAAACTCAGAAGGTCAAGGGTTGTATGTTTTCTATCCTATGTGGAAACTAGAGAGGGAAAAGGAAAAGAAAGGTTGGGAGATCTCATGAAAACAAGGGAGATCAGTAGAGTAGAGGAAAGGGACGTGGCGGGGAGGTGGGGAGGAATGGGGAATACTGGGGAGTGATGCTGGCCAAATTATAGTGTGATACCGAGTGCACATGTGAATATGTTACATAGTGTAACACCATTATATACAACTATAATGCACCAATAAAAAAAATATGGGGGAAAAAAGAACGTAGCCCCATATGTCCTTGAATGCCTCATTCATTCCTGGGGCCTGTTCCACATCCCAGCAGCTACCAGGGATGCAGAAATGAATGAGATTCCTTGTGCATTACAATAGAAAAGATAGACAAGCAGGATAATCGGGCAACAGCAGTTTGCAAACAGACACCCACTCCAAAGTGCACACGGTCCCTGGGTTGAAATGGGAAGAGGCCCCTCAAGAGCTGCAGGGCTCTGGTCACACAGAGAGGGCAGCACTGCAGGTAGGAAGCCTGGCATTGGGTTAGACACATGCAGAAGCTTCCCCCAGCAGCTTTGTGGAGGGGACAGAGAGTTGAGGGAGTTAAGATGTGAGATAAGGAAAATGTCGAAAAAAGAAAAAGAAGAAGAGGAGGAAGAAGAAGATACTGGAAATAATGTGGGTGGCCTGCCCCCAAGAGCACAGAACTTCAGCAATGGCAACTAAAAAGAAAAGGAAGCAGTGAATGGGAAATACTTAGCAGATGGACTCCAAGGAAAGGTCACCAGGGCCACACAGACCTACTCCCGCTCTCAGCCCTGCCGTGTGGTAGCTGTGGGACCTACAGACTGCTTGATGTTGCTGAGCCTTGGTTTCTTCATCTGTAAGGTGGGCCCAACTCTATATAGAGTGTTTCAAGACTGAAAAGCAACGAGGGTAAAGAGGTTAAGCCCGCACGTGGCAGGCAGCCATAAACTTAGCCCCACTGAAGGAAATGGTAACTTGTGCCTTAAACTGAGTCGAGTTGAAGGTGAACATTAGGAGCGAGGGAATGAGTGGAGTGGAGGGGCTCCATGCACAGGGTCTCCGCGTGCAGCCCAGCCCAAGCCAGGTGGAACAGAAGACCACATCTGTGCACCTCGAACCCCAGGCCCCCAAGGAAGGACAGCTTCCTGCTCAGTCCCCGATTTCAGAAATCAGTTTGCGCAATTTTTTTTTCACAGTCACCAGTAACTCAGAGAACCCCAAATACTAAATCCCGCTCTGTTCCTTTATGCCAAACCCACTGCGGATGATGGAGTTCAGGCTGGAGAGACTGGAGGAGCACACCTCCCGGCTCCACCCCCCACCAGGATGCACGCCCCAAACTCATTCCAGCCACCGCACACCAGACCATTTCCCCTGCAGCATTCAGGGGAGAAGGTGAGGTCCCAGGAAGCCAAGGCCAGCAGCACTTGCACTGCAAGAGCCACCAGCCAGCCCACTGTCAGCTGGAAATTTGTCACCGCCCAGAGAGGCAACGGGCAAAGTTGTTTCCGTTCGCCAGGTATTAGCTACGTCACTTGTTTCCTATTTCGGCATGTTATAAAAATTTCCCCAGGCGAGAGGCTGAAGCCTCTGTTGTGAAATCTGGTTAACACGAGGCGCCGGGTGGTTTTCTGTTTTCATGACATCACTCGGGTTAGTCTCTGTGTGTGTCAGAAAAGTAAAGCCCCAGGAAGCTGGCAGCTCTGCTGGGGTCCCAAAGAAATGGGGGAAAGAGGGCAGAGGAAGGACAGGGGAACAGAAATCCCAGGAGAGGAGATAGAATTCCCGGCCACCCCAGGACCAGGCGCTCGGCAGGGATCCCTCAAGGAAGAAACTTCCTTTGCTTCCTGTTTCTAGACGTGGCCACTCTATGCTTATCTGACAGATGCAGACCTGTGATCTCAGTCCGGTTTATAACATCCTAATGAAACTATTCAAATATTTTACCCACTCCCCCAGAGGTTCCATATCGGCTGGATGTTCTCATTTGCCTTAAATCTGCAGGTGGCTGGAGGAATTGGGCCGGAGATCAGAGCGATTCCCCCAAGCACCATTGTGCCCAGCCTGGTCTCAGACTT